GAGAATTACTGGGGACCATTTTGAAACCCTATACTCCAATAAATTGGAGGATCTAGAAGAATTTTTTTCTAGACTTATATAACCTACTAAAACTGAGCCAAGAAGATATAAAAACCTAAAGAGATCAATAACAATCAGTGAGACTGAAGAAGTAATAAAATTCTTTCAACAAAGAAAATTCAGGATGAGTTTACTGGTAAATTTTTATCAAATCTTTCAAGAAATAATGGCAGTGCTCCTGAAATTACACCATGAAATGAAAGAAAAGGGACACTTCCAGGTTCACCCCATGAGGTCAACATTACCTTGATAACAAAGTGTACAGGGCTACAACAACAACAGCAAAAACTATAGGTCAATATTCTTGATAAACATAGGTATAGAAATACCTAATTAAATGCCCACACATCAAATTGAATACCACATTAAAAAGATCATACAGAAAGAGTAAACTGGTTTCATTTTAGGGATTCACAGATGCTTCAACATATATAAATCAATAGACATCATACACATAAATAGAATCAAGGCTAAAAATCACATTATCATCTCAGTTGACTCAGAAATTCAACAACCTTTCATGATAAAAGCTCTGAAGGAACTAAGTGCTGAGGGATCACATCCCAAAATAGTAAAAGTTCTATGTGACAAACCCATAGCCAACATCATTCTGAGTAGAGAAAAACTGAATTCTTTTCTCTAAAATCAGGAAGCATGGTGAAAATGTCTTCTGTCATCACTCCAATTCAGTATAGCACTTGGAATTTTAGCTAGAGCAATTAGATAAGATTTAGAAATAAGACATGTCCAAATAGGAAAGGAAGAAGTCAAATTATCTTTGTTTGAAGATGAAATGATTTTATACTTGAATGATCTTAAAAACTCCACCAAAAGACATTTTGGAGCTGACAAATAAATTCAGCAAAGTTACAGGACATAAAATTCACATTATAAATCAATAGCTTGCTATAAACCAATCATAAAGTTGAGAAAGAAATCAAGAAAACAATTCCATTAAGAATAACTCCGAAGGGCTGGTGAGATGGCTCAGTGGTCTAAAGCACCTACTTAGAACAAACTTAGCAAAGCACAGGGACCGCAGTTCAATCCCCCAGCACTACATGCCAGCTAGCCCCGCCCCCTGGTGGGCTGAGCTGGCCACACACACACACACACACACATAAATTAAAATTAAAAAAAAAAAAGAATAACTCCGAAGAAAAAACCTACGTCACACCAAAACAAAGCCAACCAACTAACCAACCAATAAACCAACCCTAGAGATCAGTCTGACCAAAAGGGTGAAAGAGCTCTACAATTAAAATTTCAGAAAACTGAAGAAAGAAATTTAAGAAGATATTAGCAGAGATGAAAAGAATTCCCATTTCCATGGTTCAGTAGAACTAGATTTAAAATGGCCATGTTACTAAAAGTGATCTAGAGACCCAATGCAGTCCCTATCACAATACCTGCAATCTCTATTATTATTCTGTAAGTAATATTCTCAGAAATAGAAAAAAATCCTAAAATTCATACGAAAACACAAGACCCAGAATAGTCAAAGCAACACTAGACAAAAGGAGCAATACTGGAAGCATCACAACACCCATTTCCCAAATTTCAGAGTATATTGCAAATCCATAGTAACAAAATCAGCATAGTATTGGTGCAAAAATAGACATACAAACCAATGTAACAGAATACGGGAAACAGGAGGGAAAAAATCCATGCAACCACAACCATCTAATTCTGGACAAAGGAGTCACAAGTCTATGTTAGAGAAAAAACAGCCCTTTAAACAAAAGGTGCTAAGGAAACTGGATATCCACCTCTAAGATATTAAAGCTAGATCCCTGTCCTTTATCTTCTACAAAGTTTAATTCAAAATGGATCAAAGATCCAAGTATATAACTTGAATCTTTGAAACTACTAAAAGCACATGTAAGGAAAATATTTGAACATAAGCAAAATTTTTTGCATAGGAAAAAATGTTCTGAATAGGACATCAATGACATAGGCAACAACCATAAGAATCAACAAATGGGGTAACATCAAATTAAAAAAAATTATGCACAACCAGAAAAATAAATAAGAGAGCAAGAAGACAACCTAAAGAAAAGGAGAAAATGTTCTCTAGTTACTCTTCCAACAACAGTTAACACGTAAAATATACATAAAACTAAAAACCCCCACACAAATCAAATTGCTTAATCAATTAGACCAATGAATTGAAGAGACACTTATCAGCAGAAAAAGTACAAATTTCCAATAATTGTATTAAACAGTGTTCAACATCTTTAGCCATTTGGGAAATGTAAATCCAAACTACATTGAGATTTCATCTTAACCTGGCCAGAATGGTTACCATCAAGGATACACAAGTACTTAATGCTGGTGTGGATGTCTGGGAGAGAACACATCTATACTGCTAGTGGGCATGTAAATGAGTACAGCCACTGTAGAAACCAGTATGAAAGCCCTTCAAGAAACTAAAACTAGAGCCATCATTTGATCCAGCTATACTACTTTTGGTATATACCCAAAGTAATTAAAGTTGGCATACTATTAGCTATCTATGTACTCATGTTTATGGTAGCAAAATATATGACAGCCAAGATATGGAACCAGCCTAGGTGCCCACGAACAGAAGAATGGGTAAAGAAAATATGTTCTACATACAATGGACACTTTTTGGGCAATAATGAAGAATGAAATTTTGACATTTGCAGGAAAATGGATGGAACTGGAGATCATCATGTTGCATGAAATAAGCTGGACTCAGATAACTATTGCATACTCTCCCTACTAGGCAGAATCTTAAAAAGATGGCATGAAAGTAAAGGGAGGGGCTGGGGAGATGGCTCAGTGGAATAAGCGCTTCCCTGGCAAGTGCAAGGGCCTGAGTTCAATCCCCGGTTCCACCAAAAAAAAAAAAAAAAAAAAAAGAAAGAAAGTAAAGGGAGATGATTAGCCAAGAAGCAGGGACTAAAGGGGAGGGCAACAAGGAGGGGATAGAGGAATGGATATGATAAAAATATATGTTTTGAAATCAATATTTTATAAAATTAATGACTGACAATGAAAAAATAAAAATAAATACAGGAGAATAAAAATTAGGTGACCACATTCAAGAAAGAAGGTGTAAATGTGAGAAACAGTAGTGAAAGAAAATAGTAATGATGACTTAACGCTGTTTGGCAGGAGATAGAAGACAAAGATTTACAGCAGATTAACTACTCAGAGACAGAAAACAGAGACAGTCATATCAATCCTAAAACTCTAAATCTTAAAATATGCAGTTCCAACTCTTTATAGGTCAAATTACTATTCATTTTATGGTAATTTTAAAGCACTAGATCAAATAAACTAAATTATTTGTTTATTGCAAATGCTTGCAGTGAACTTAGAAAGCATATTTTGTATCTCAAAAATTTCTTTGTCATTGAAAAAACATTTTTAAACAACTACAAATGGGTGAACTAAGTTGCTGGCATCTATAAAGATATAATTCAATTTTTTTCATAATTCTGTTACTTAGAAGCTTGACTATCATGATCTTTCATTCCTCTAAAATTGTGGTTAGAAGTTTGGGGAAATTCTAAGAACCCTTCTTATGAATGTCTGTTGAAATGAGCTCAAGTTTAGAATAAAAAATCTTTTTCTTTGGAAGGAAATAGGCAGTTTGAAAACTGAGGGACTAATTTGTTGGTAACCCAGACTCCTGAGTGGACAGTTGGAGAAAGATCTTTAGATAAAACAGAACTATCTATTATCTGCAAATAAAACTGGTGGCACAGTTCGGCTCTGGGAAATAGACCCATCGCTTATTGGCCTTTTGGCTAAGATCAAGTGTGGAAAAAAATGACCCAATCTGGGACTTCTCAATCTGGGAGAAATAGTATGGAGAAAGACTGCCACTCTCTGCTGCTGCAGGTGGCCACTGGTGACCCCTACGTTTTGGGTTAATCAGCATAAAGGCCTGGAGGCCGGAGTTCTGGAGCCTCCTGTCTCCAGAGTAGAGTCCACTTCCAGAAGCTCCATAGCAGTCTCAGAGTCCACTGGGCTCAGGGTGGGGGAGAAGGAATTTAGTACAGTATTCTGTCCCCAGGAATACAGGTAGGATCGCAGCAGAGCCTATGAACTGTTGCAAGTCCTCTGGAAGACTGCACAGGTATGACATGCTGAGGGACTCCAACATATCCAGGCTGGGAAGGGTGTAAGGGGTTGATGCTTGACCTTACCACGCAGAAGCAGTGTCTGTACAACATGGGCTGAGCCACTTAGGGATCTCATATGTTTTTATGAATAAGGAAGGAGGAAATTTGGATGCATATTGTAAAGGATTATAGATTGTTCTCTGACTCCAAATCCAAAAAAATATGGCTTCTCAATGATCTGAACCAAAGGAAAAAGAGTCAAGACAAGAGAAATATTTTGTGTGAACTAACCTGACCTTTTCTTTCATTTAAATATTGGAACAATTGACAGAGATGTCCTGATGTCATTTTTTTGTGGTAGTACTATTTAATGCATTTCTAAGTCAGTCACAAATGTTATTCACTTTTAAAAAGTCATTACATGCTTCCTGATGTTTCTTTTCTTTTTTGCTTCTGGCAATCAAAAGAAGAATTTTCTGTCAAACCCTGACAGCTGCAGGGCCTGTTCTTCTTGGTCAAAGGGCAATCTCTCCACAGCTGGTAAATGGACAAGATGGCCTGTGCCTGCGAGACACGGTTCTCCAGACTGAGAAATGTAAATATGCACAGACGCATACAGCCGATCTAATGAATCCAAGTATGTCATGTGCCAAGTGAAGAGACATTGACTCATCCAGCCCAAATGACATTCTCCATGTTCACAGGTCAATTAGCAGCAAAGCAGAAAATCAGGTGTGCCCCTCACTTCTTTAGATCTCACTTTGCACAAATCAAGTATGTTTCATGAAAAGACTTTTAAACAACTCTTAAAACATGTCCCCCAGCTCCGCCTTTGCACTGTACCTTGCAGTATGCTCTTTACTATAACTTCTGTGTGGTCAGCAAGGAGATCCGCCTTGGTAATCGCAGCCAGGGACAGGTAGTTAGACATGTTCCTGCACAGCTCCTTGTTGCCTCTGTGGAGAAATTTCACTGCAATGGGGATGGCTAATACCATCACAGGGGGCCGGTTATAATTCTGTGGAAGCACAAGGAAGCAAAAACAAGTGATTCATTATTCATTCACTTACTTTCCAAAAACATTTCCTGAGCTGCACTTGTGGAATACAGTCATGAAAACATGGGCTCTGCCATGTATATATTGTCTGGGAAATCTTGCTCTGGTTTGGGAGGCTTAAAGGCAAATAGGTAGCTGAAAGCATAAGTTGGTAAGGGCCATGGAAGGCAGCGCGCAAGGTGCCAAGGGAGTCAGGAAGCATCTAACCCAGTCGGCAGTGTCAAGAAAGACTTCCTGGAGGAAGTAACTTCTCACCTAAGTCCTGAGGAATGAAAAGGGGATGGCTGGGCAATGGCAGTGTAAGGAGTGGAGAGGAAGGGCCAGTGAGGAGCCTCAGAGGTCAGGGAGCACTTGGAGCATTTGGGGAGCTGTAAATGGCTCCTAATTGTTGGAGGGCGGTGTGTGAGTGGGGAGGTGACTGAAGGGACAGAGAAAGTAAGTAGGGGCATGATTGTGAAGGGCCCAGAATGCCAGGTTAAGGACTTTGGAATTAATCTTAAGGGCAATCAAGAGTCATTGAGGAGAGGAACAACTCATCTGATTTACACTTGCAAAAATAACCACAGGAATGGAATGTGAAACAAGTTGCTTTCTGACTTCATTTTAAAACCTGCAGTGTTTTTTTGGAACCAACCAAGGATGAATGAATAAAGAAAGTGTATTATAATACACACAATAAGATATTGTTTAGCTATAATAGAAAAGGATCACAGCATCTGTGACAACATGGATGGAAGTGGGGGGCAATAGGTTAAGCGGAATAAGTGAGAAGTAGAAAGACAAATACTGCATGCTTTCTCTTACACAAGTTTGTAGAAGCTAAAATAATTGATTTCATAGAGACTACTGTGGTGACTAGAAGCTTGGAAAAAGATTGAAGATCAGACAACAGAAGCCAAAGCACAGTTTTAAGGGCAAAATAAGTTCTAATGTGTTGCACTGTAGAAGGGTAACTATAGTTCACAACAATTTATCATATGTCTTATTAAAAACTAGAAGAGAGGAGATTGAAGTTTCCAATACAAAGAGATGATAAATATTTAAGGAGAGGGAAATACATGTGCTGAGTTATTGCACTGCATTCCATCAATATGTACAATTATTAGGAGTCAGTTTAAAAAACCAAGAAAACTCTTAAGATTTACAGATAATGAGAACCACAAAGAAAAATACCATATGAACATGAGACTAAAAACTGAAGGAATTCTGGATCCCAAAATAATTCTTAACTTATTTTGTGACTGAAATAAAGATCTCTACATAAAATACTGTCAACATTTAGAATAATATTTGGAAGATATAAATCATTTTCTTAAAAATGAATAGTAAGGGCCAGCCAAATAGCTCAATGGCTTAAAGCACGTGCAAGCAGGCACAGGGGCCAGGGGTTCAATCCCCAGGCCTGCCCTGCCAGCCCCGCCCCATGCTGAGATGGCAATTGAGACTGGCGTGGTGGTGCACCCCTGTAATCCCAGCACTTGGGAGGCTGTAAACAGGAGAATCACTACAAGTCTGATCTTGTAGTGAGACCCTGAACACCCTGTAGACTCGTCCCTAAAATACAGGGTAAAAAAGGAACAGTAAATATTCACTACTATCAGTGCCACACCTTCCACTGAATCTAGGCCAAAGCTACATAGTGCACAATGTATTTGAGAACTCACTTCATGTTATTATAAATAAATAGGAATGTTGTTCACTAATTGTGGAAAATGTACCTATCTTTCCACCTATGGATTAGTCCCTCTAGTACTTCCCACAATTCTTGAATTACGGTAAGTCCTTAATAAATAACTGTGAAATTGAATCGATATAATATAAATCTATGGTGACAGTTGTCTATGGGGACATAATGTGGTAGAAAAAAACATCAAATGGAAAAATGTGACCTGGCGTCTAATCTTGGCTCCCCTACCATCTTGCTGGGTGGTCATGGAGACATCACTCAGCTCTCTAGGTCTCCCTTATAAAATGGCTATCGTCATTGTTGCCAGTCTGACAACCTTTGATAAAAAGACCCTAAAACAGATATCGTATCAATGGCCTAGCACAGGAAGGCTTTGCAGGCTGAGGGGCCACTGACCTTGTGAGACAGCCAAGTAATGATCGTCAGTATCCAAATGGAGGTAAATATTTAGATAATCACGGTCGAGATTGAGTGTGCTATTGTATGGCTTCTTCTTTTCTCCAGATCTCAGCATTACTAGTTTCCTGCCTATGTCTACTCACCCTTTTTCTGGAAACTCTATCCTAATGCCTTTTTGGGGAACTGTTTAGGTATTTCTAATGACAGCATTTCCACCCTTGGTTTCAAGAGTATTTAAGTGTCCTAGATACTAGCCTGTCAGATAATCACATTTTCCTGGTCTAAGTGACGGCTTCAAGGGCAGGCAGGTTATTAAATTACAATTAAGGAGTCATTGCTTTGGCAAGCACAGGGACCAAGGTTTGATCCCTAGTCCCACATGCCTCACTGGCCCCACCCCTGGAGTCTGAGCTGCAGAGTGAGACCTTGTACCAAAGACATGAAATAGTTAAGGAATCATGAAAAGGCTCTGTGAAAGGAGTTCTTTCTCCTTCTCCTTCTCCTTCTCCTTCTCCTTCTCCTTCTCCTTCTCCTTCTCCTTCTCCTCCTCCTCCTCATCCACTTCCTCCCTCTCCGTCTCCCTCTCCCTCTCTCTTCCTCTCTCTCTCTCTCTCTCTCTCTCTCTCTCTCTCTCTCTCTCTTTCTCTCTGCTGCATTCAGGTGGTCAAGAATAGTGAATTAAGAATAACTGCTGTAATCATGTGACTCTAGTAGGCCAGAACCTATAAGAAAATCAAAGAAACATGGATCTGAGAGATCAGTTTAGAGAAATCATGTCCAGGTCTTGATATTATCATTTGAACTTCATGTTCTAAATTATGCCAATGACCAGTTCTTTCCCTAAATAAACCAACTAAATCTCTCATGCTTGAGCTGTCCTCCTCCCTCATCACTAGAAAAAAAAAATACCCGATAAACCTTTAACCTATTCCTATACTTTAATACATTTACCAGACCCATGGGTCAACCTGACCCCTTGGAGGAGAAAATAGGTATTCTATTACCTAATTTGACACACACTTTCAGTGCCATAAGTCAGCCATTTTGCAAGCTCTAGCCCTATCCTTAGTGACACAGCATGTCTGTATTGCAGTTCTGCTCAGTGAATCTGTTTCATACATCTTAAAATTTTTAACACAAAAAATTAGGATTGTGACCTACAGTCAGACATACTTGATGACTTCTGAATGCCTTACTTAGATTGTCTTCCTTCATGCTGAATGAGATTGGGCTTATTGAACAGGCCATTATGGATGTGATGCACTGAGACCTTCCCAGGAGGCTGGCTGCTCTCCTCTCCCAGGAAACTGGGCATGGTCTGGTCATACCACAGAGTTGACTTGCTCTCTGAAGGCTGGCCCACATCAATGGATTTCCAAAAGGCTGGTGCATAATATTCTTGCCACATGTCCACCAATAGTGGGGGGCTTTGCTAGGTCAGACCTTGGGCATCCTTCACACATCACCACGATACCAAGAAGCCAGACTAGAAACCAGAGTGTTCACCCATGGGCACACAATCATTCAGATCAAAGAGACCCTACAGGGTATCTCAGCAGGGCTATGGTGATTAAAATAACAGTCCTGCCGTGCAACCAACTCTCCACTTCTAGTGAACAGAACTTTCCACTCATCAAATTCAATCTCTATGCCTCCTCCAGTGCTGATGAGTAAACCTACAAAATAATGATCCCATAGAGAGCTTGTCCCTTTTGTTAACTTACTCCTCAGATGCTGGTGTGTAAGTAGGCTAATTAACTTGGCCTTTTTCTCAATTATATTCTATCACTGCTCCCTTGAGGCTACATTTGGCTTATTTCTATAAAGCCACTTAGCTTCACCTTGGGTTGCTCCTATAGCCAGCTATTTTTTCCATTACATGTAGATTTCTGATAGTTTAACTTTTTTTTCTGGTATTGGGCACTGAACACAGGGCCTTGTAGATAACAGCAAGTGCTCTTGTTATTTTGTTTTGTTTTACATTTTGAGACAGGGTCTCACTATGTTGCTCAAACTTTCAGTTCTTCTACTTCAGGCTCCTGAGTAGCTAGGGTTACATGCAGGGGCTACTACTGCTGGCAGTGTTTATGTCTGCTATGACTGGTGAAAGCCCCAGTGCTGAGGGTGGAGCATAATCGCACAGTTGTTCTCAGAACTTTCCAACAAGAAATTCATGCCCAAGTTCACCTTATCTACTGTGGCGCTATTGCCAAGAACAAGTTTCAGGCAGAGAGACACATGTCTTCCAGTAGAAGAATACGTCTTTGAGTATATTTGCCTGTGACTTGCTGGAAAACCAAAGAAGATCAATGGAGATTGTTGTTTCCAGCAACTGATGCATTTTAATGTTGGGATGAACTATTGATTGCCAGCAACAATGAAAGAATAGGCTGTCTTTACTAATCAGATTACATTCTACTTTCTTTCTTTCTTTCTTTCTTTCTTTCTTTCTTTCTTTCTTTCTTTCTTTCTTCTTCTCCTTCCTTCCTTCCTTCCTTCCTTCCTTCCTTGCTTCCTTCCTTCCTTCTTTTCTTTCTTTCTTTTTTTATTTCGGGGGTTCTGGAAATCAAACTCAGGACCTTGCACTTGCCAGGCAAGTGCTATGCCACTGAGTTATAACCCCAGGCCTACAATCTTTATAGAACAATTCTAGATATTCTAGAGAAAAATAGCCATCAGCTATTAAAGTCTCTGAAGTGTGGTTGCAAGAGAAATGTATAAAATCTTCCCCAAATCTATAATGTCATTATTCTCAAAAGCAAACTTTATTTTTATTTATTATTTATTTATTTATTTATTTATTTATTTATTTATTTTTTGTGGTACTGGGGATTGAACTCAGGACCTTGCACTTTCCAGGCAAGCACTTATTCTACTGAGCTATCTCCCTGGTCCCAAAACAAACTTTAATACACTCAATTTTTCTGTTTTCCTCCCAAACATGCTATTTGAAATGCTCTCAAATGATACAAAAAGTGAAATGTTAAGCCAAGAGAAATTAGTTTACATAAGCAGGAGGGAATCACCAGCAGAGGCCTCAGGTCCCTACAGTGCCAGGCAGCTGCTGGCAGAGCATGAGGCTGTGGGCACAGCTGAAAGCAGCAGGATGGGAGCAGTGAGCTGGGCGGCCAAGGTGAGTCTCAGGAGAGGGGGCTCTCACAGACCTAACAGAGAACAAATGATTTCTTCCATCGGCTGTACTTTGCCCTCACAAGCAGCTAAAGAAGTTGCTAATGCAGTAGATCTTAGGCTTATGAAATCATTGTATCTCTAAAATTATTTGGATCACAGAAATGCTAATGGAACACAAAGAAAGTTCTGTTGTTACAGCCTTACAAATAAGCCACTTTAACAGCAGCTGGTAGTGTGAGTGCGATGCCAGGCCTGGCCCTCAGCACAGACGTGAGCGTGCTGGTGGGATATCACCTTACACCCAGCTCAGGGCTCAGGGCACCACTGAGCGCAGCACAGACCTACAGCCTTGCTCATGGGGCCTGTTCTATTTAGCTGTAGAGGTAAAACAAGAGGGCCTTGTCCGTGGATGCCAACACTTCTAACTGGAATAGCACCAGTTTAAGCTTTTTCTGGACATTTTCCTTTTGAAAATGCATTTTGGGAATGCTTCCCAGTGTTTTTAAAAATGAAAAGAATGAAGCAAAAAAGAAGAGATATCTATCTGAGATGAATAGCAACTAAAAAGCTCTTTGATGCTCAGGTCTTGAATATATCAAAACAGTTATAAAAATGATTAAGATCAAGAAATATTAAACTTCATTTATTAAAATAGAGTTCTTTGCCTATTCATCCAGCACTACCAGTCCAGTCAAAGTAATTTTGGATCTACCTAAAAAGTCTTTATTTCTTACTGCATAGCAAAACATAAAATCTATTTGGCACATGCACCTACGTTCCCAGTGGATTTTCTGACAGGTAATAGGGATGCAGGTGTGAGGAAGCTGAAGGTGGGGGGATCATCCCAGCCTCCTCCCATTTCATGCCACTGTCTGAGGACTGAATGCTAAAGCCTACTCTGGAGAGAAGGAAGCCAGAGGATAGTCGCCTCTTCTGAGAGTAGCAAAGAACTTTAGACCTCAAAGGCCCCAGTCTTAGGAATCTTGTTCTTCTGTAGACGAGACACTAGCAAGTTATTTCCTTCTTCTGAGTCTGTGTTTTGTTACGTGTAAAACAGGGATAGCGGTACTCACATCCCAAAGCTGCTGTGGGGGTCAGGGGTGAAATAGCACTTAAAGTACTCACAAATATTGCTACATATTGTATAACAGGTGCTCAACTAATACTCATCAAATGATTGAATGAATGTAATTCTGTAATCTAAAAAGTTATTTTACAGTAAATATGTAGGTTCATAAATTTAAAGACCAAGGGAATCAATATACTACCAATTAAAAGAGGTCTAGCAATAGATACCTGAAGCACATTTGTGTGAAGGCCAAAAAGAGAAACTTAAGGAAAAAGACAGAAATTTATGTGTGTGTGTGTGTGTGTGTGTGTGTGTGTATGTACACATTTATTTTAAAATGACAATGAAATCATCAGTAAAAATTTAATTAAATACTCAAGGGTGTGCAAATGGGCCCTCAGTAGGTACTCAATCTAAACATTATGACGTGATTCTGTTCGTGTATCTTAGCAAGTGGGGTGGGGTGTCTAGGATATTCTTCACTCTTCTTATTTTTCATTTTTTGGAAGGTAAAAGCTTTTTGAAAGTTGATCTACTGTTTTTTCTTTTTCCTGAACAAAGAACACAAAATGTGTCATTTGAATTTCTGAATGGTTCTTCCAAAACTTTAAATTACTAATGGTAGAAATTATGTCCATGTTGACCGTAGACAAAAACTTCCCCTCAAAGTGCGATGAAAGCTGAATGCAAATCCTATGATCACCACCACCGCCTGGCTGGCTTTCTCGAGTACATCCCAGAGGAACCTTACTGAAAGAGGCTTTCATCTCTGGAGCTTCGGCTTTCCTCTGCAGCAGCTTCTGCCTCCTTCTGCGGACACAGGATGGAAACTGCACTCCCACGCTCGGCTGTAGGCTGGAGTCATCCACCTCAGTGACTCACTTTTCTCTCTCAACAAAGAGGCTTGTCCCTCAGCTCCTCTCTCTTTTCCTTTCCCCTCAAAACTCAGTCCTTGACCTCTTGACCCTCTCTCAATATCTCACAGGCTTATTTATCTTGGCAGTAGTTTTACTGGTTCTATTTCATAAAAGAATTTTCTTTTTTGTCCCTTTCATATAGGAGACATAATGCCTTATCCAGAATAAAACATGCTTCTTTGTTTAAATTCTAGGCATTTTGGAAAGATAGCATATTTTTAATTTTTTACTTTGATCCTATTTCACAAATCAGTACTAACACACACAAGTTAGTCTGGTACTTAGAATGTTCTCTTTTTCTACCTTGCCTATTGGGCAAAATTCCTGCTCATGGTGCAGACCTTTCCAAATACAATTTCCATCCAGAAAGTCTTCCTTGACTCCAGAACTAGGCCAACCAAGCAGGCACTAACCCCTCAGAAGTTCACAAGCACTTAAAAGTAAGGTGTGCTACAACAAACTAGATTTACAAGACAGTGTTAAAGGATATAAATGATCTCATTAATTATTACAATGACTGTACATTGAAATTATAGTATTTTGTGTAGTATTAGGTTAAGAAAGATAGATTATCAAATCAACTTCATGGTTTTGACTTTTTAAGATGGCTAATTGAAAACTTAAAATTAAACACATAGCTCATGTTTGTGGCTTACACTGGATTTTTGTCAGGTGGTGCTGCTCTAAGTTCTAGATCACTGGTTTTATTTCAAAGAGTTTTTTTGTTTTGTTTTGTTTTGCTGGTTGGTTTATTGAGACAGGACCTTTCTGTATAGTGCAGGCTGCCTCTGAACTCACTATGTAGCCTAGGCTGGCCCCAAACTTGCAACAATCCTCCTGACTCAGCCTCCTGAGTGCTGGGACTACAGGTGTGTACTGCTATTCCTGACTAGATCATTGGTTTTTGAACCTGTGGAGGAAGCTAGAACATAGAACTGAGTTTTGAATACATAAATGTTCCAATGTCGTTGGAGTGGCTTTTTGGGCTAGAATAATTCATATTTTGGAAACACATCAGTAATATATTTAAGGTAACCTATGAAGAACAGATGTATTGTGACAGCTCAATAGAGAAACATTGAATTTAGTGTTCCCCAAATTACCTGACCACAGAATTCTTTTTAAGAAATACCTATTAATGTCAGTAGTCTATAAAATTTTTTCATAGATGATTTTATTTAATCTACATTTTACAGAGGAGAAAATTGTGTGTTAGGTAGGTTAGTGACTTACTCTATGTTTCAATGTTACACACTGTTTCTTAGGAGAGGCAAAATTTCAAATTCTCATTTACACTAGAGGAAGGAATTAAATGTGACCAGAATATGGAAATACCATTGTGAAGAATTCAAAATGCATACCAAGATTCATTTTAAAAGGACTTGGCTAATTCCTCCCACATAACCCAAGCTCCTAATTTCTATCTTTACTTGCTCTTGGGTCCCCTTGGGTGAAAGTGGTCTCCTTTTGTAAATATTCCAGGATTCCTCCTTTGGATCTTGGCACACATATTATTTACTGCAGAATTACTTTGAATTCCCTATAGTGTGCCATACACAAAGGGGCTTAATAGCACTTTCTCAACTTATTAATTATCAACCCTCTGGCTTAGCTACTGACAGTTTATGGTGTCTCTTTACAAGATCTAAATGGTGCAGAAAAACTGGCTCAGCTCAGAGACATCATGTGTTCAATGAGCTGCCAACCATGTATCAAATTGCTCACTGTTGAACACTGGCCTACCTGTAAAATGCAACTCATGATATCAGATGCAATTTTTGCATGAGGAGTATCTTCATCCTTGCCAGAGGGTCTTAGGTTGCGTTCCAAGCAGGAGTCCCAGAGCCCCACAAGGGCCTTGGCATGCTTTTCAATGGATTCTGTCTCTCTGATGGCTGTTGTAATTCTTGTGATACAGATCTCAACCACAGCCTGGTCGTTGTTATTGGTTTGGTAATCCTATTTGGAAAGAGAATCTTCATGTTAAATAATGCTCTAGAAAGTTATCCCTTAAAGGATGAAACACTAGTTGGTTGATTTAGAAAACAGGCATGCCATGCAATAAGCTCTGGCTGAGTTTATAGAGCCCGATACAATGACAGTCTTCTTCCTTGGAAACAGTGATCCCTGGAAGAGGAAGACATGTAAATGTGCTGAAGTGCAGCACGCTGGTAACATCGCCAGGAGGAGCGCGCAGAGAGAGTTCAAAGGAGCTCACTTATTCACCGGCAGTGGGCTCAGTCTTGAGGCCGCTTCAGTGTCTAAGTTCCTTACATCGGTGAAGAAGGGCTACTCCTTAGTCTAACATTTCAGTAACATTTCCGAAACTTTACAAATTATTTTCCAACATCCCTTCATTTTCTCTCTCTTTTGGGACACACTAGAACATATCATTTCCTTTCCCTAATTTCAACTCAAATCTGGCTTTCCACAACCAATTTGCCTCCATTTTTCTATCTTAATTTTCTCCTAATACCTCATCATCCTTACTGAGAAATAATATACCCTCTAAAATATCTAAATGCATATCAATATATCTTCCCCTTTTTTGTTTTGTCCTTTTGTATAATTTCTAATTTTTTTTACCATTTTGTATTCTTTAAAAAATAAATAAATAAAATATCTAAATGCAAAAACAAAAGTTCTATCACTTTAATTTGGAAAATAGGTCTGTGAACGCTTCACAGGTGATTCACAAAACTGGAAATATAATCGAATAGCAAACTGTCAGAACTTTGCATCATCATGCACACTAGAGAGGTGAGGGGATGCTGCTTTCTGTGCACCTGCAAGCTCCTGCCCTTAATTTCTTTTTTAATTGCTCCCCATATATGCCATTAAACATCTTGTGCATCAATCTCACTCTAAATCATAGGCTGTTTGTAGCTTAGATCCTCCAGAAGTAGACATTTCTGAGATAAAGGATGAAAATATTTTGAAGGCTCATGATATATTGTTTCATAAAAGTCCTATACCACGCTCAGTATCAATCGCTGTCTCAGCATGCCCTGGGGACAGGGCTGGCAAGACATACCGGGGATGGGCCTAAGCAGGTGCTTTATTCTACTGAGCCATCTGGTCGGCCCCATCCTATGAAATCTTAAGGGTGCTTCTTAATATAGTTTATGTTTGTTGTTGCTTCCTAACAAAATCTTTTTTCCCCTTCATTAGAACTTCAGATTATCTACTTCTGGAGACAGAGTCTTTTTTTGTTTTTGGCAGAACCGGGGATTGAACTCAGGCCCTTGCGCTTATCAGGGAAGCACTTATTCCACTGAGCCATCTCCCCGCCCCTCTATTTTTGATTGAGTGAATTTACTGCTTTGATTGTTCCATTTGTTTTCCAGTGCTGGGAACTGAGCCCAGGGCTACACAGGCCAGGCAAGCTCTTTTCCTCTGTGATGCAGGCCCTATGCCCTCCTCTGCCTTCTGTATTTCCTTTGCATCCAACTCTTTAACTCAACAATTCTCAATTATGATACAAATGATTCTCTTGGGTCTTCTAAAAAAACTTCTTTCTATGTTTTATGTAGCCTTGGTGGAGTCTATACCTTTTAATATATCTCAATACTTATTTTGTTGGCTAGAATTTCTTGAGCCCTTTTTTTTTTTTTTCACATAAAAGTGATAGACCAAGAATGTTGGCTCAGTTCCTGGTTTTCATTATAAAATTTTATGGCTAAAACTAAGAGAATATAGTAAATGTTTTAAATCATATAAGATGTATCACTTAAATCTTATAATATGTAAAGTTTTTAAAAGTTTATATATTGACAATTTATTTCTTTTTATGTTTGGTACCAGGGATTGAACTCAGGACCTTGCACTTGCTAGGCAAAGCACTTATGCCATTGAGCTATCTCCCCAGCACCTTGGTAATTTCTTTAGTAAGCATTATGCTAAATTTTGAGGTAAGAGAAATATTTTATAATATTATACTTTATATGTTAAAGAAGTATCAGTCTATTTCTATGTTATGGTGTGGAGGTTGGAGGCATGGCTCAGTGCTAGAGGACATGACTGGCATAGAAAGGCTCTGAGTTTAAACCCCAGTACTACAAAAGAAAAATGAAGAAAAAAGAATGATCTGTGAATTTTACTAAATGCCATTTTTAGAGTCTATGGCATCGTTTCTGTCCTTAGAGTTATCACTGATAAATTATAGACACAAATTTCCTAACATCAGCGAACTCTGTACTACTTGAATATATCTTACTGGATGGGAAATAAATCTTTAATGTGCTGTTGGATTCTGTTTTTTCTTTTAACTTTTATTTATTCATTTCAATGGGAAAAAAGAATAGCAATGAAAGAGTTTCAAAACAGGTTAGTAGGACAGTTACAATAATTAATACATTGCATATTGTTGTCTTCATAGTATTCAGAGGACAAGATACAGACATAGCTTGTCTAAACAATATTAGTACAACCTCTTTTCCCAATGAACTAAGAGAAAGTAACTGTATATCTATCCTAACTCTCTTGTATATATATGTATTTTTTTCTTCTCTTTCTTTAAATAACAAAATGATCTATTATTTACACTTTTATTAAGTTAATAATGCATGACACTAGGTTGCCTAGCAAGTAATAGCTAACCTTAACCAGACAGGATATTCATCTCAGGAGTGAGGTCCCACCTACACATATTCAATTGGTTTCCTAGCTTCGTGGCTCCCAATATATCCCCCTTTTTCATTTTGTTTTGTCTGAGATGAGCGTTCCACTGCAGTTAGAGAAGCTGCATTTGGAGAAGTCTTTAAAGGACCTTTTCATACTTGAAGCCAGTCTAAAGATTGTAGGTACTAGAATTCAGCAAAATAACCCAATTAGTCCAATAGTCCATAACAGTAGTGGGTTATCAGCAGAATCGGCAATTGTCAGAAGTTGTTGACTTGAGCCTTTTACAGCTCAGCATATTAATATGGCACTACTTTTTATACCTCGTGGTTATACTTTTCTGCTGAATGCTTAAGACCAAGTTAAAGCAAGACCTATATAACTAAAAATGTAACTTTTGTATCTGACAAGTCATTCAAACGCCCTCAGGATTTACCCTGAAACTATGTACAGCACCTTGTAGATCTTTTGTCAATGTCAGCCATCTGGATGAGTCATGGCCATTGCTTGACCATTTGCTCTCTGTGAAAGCCTGAGAGAATTTTTTTCTCTCTAGGTGACTCTTCTTAGGCATACTCTACATCATTGATCACTTTTCTCTGTAGCCCTATAATCTCCTTGATCAGAAAATTTGGGACACCACTAAGTTACAGGATGTCACAGCAGAGGTTCTCTTATATCCTACATCCTCACTGACCTTGCAGGGCTAGGGCCAAAATATTGGCTATCCTTGTAGCCTCTCTATTTCTCTAATTTTTAGTCTGCAAACTTTAGTTGTTAAACATCCAGAAGAGAAAATTAATGATATTATTACTCTGTAACAGAGGCAGTTGAGCTTAACATCACTATCTGTGTGAATATCAAACACCTTAGACATAACATGGAACTATTTTCCACCAACCATAGATATTCTAAAATTTAAATCCATATAGAATGTGGGGGAAAACAATTACATATTTTTACATGGAAATTTAGAAATCAGGGCCTGGGGAGATAGCTCAGTAGAATAAGTGCTTGCCTGGCAAGCACAAGGTCCTGAGTTCAATTTCCAGTACTGAAAAAAGAAAAATAAAATTAGAAATCAAACCATATACAACATTGTAGCAGGACAATTCTGTGACATTTTTTTCTTGTCTCTTGTTTTCTTTTAATATCCCCTTTTGTTGGCAAACATTTACTTTTAAGAGGGAATAGCAATAATTGATATGACATTAGAAGCAGTACTCATTTAGAAGACCAAAGTGACAGGTATTTCAAGCATAGTTTTAGTATTACACATTGCTATCCTCAGTGTAGTTGCTTAGTTCTTAGATATCAGCATATAGAGTTAGGGTGAGAATGGATTCTGTTCCTAATATTTTATTTAAATTTTCTGTCAATTTTTGGTCTTTATGTCAGTTAAATTTTATTAACTTTATGTTAATTTCATAAGAGGATGTAGAAGATTTATGCTCTGTATAATTTTGTTTTAATAGAAAGTATCACAAGGGCCAGCCAAATAGCTCAGTGGATTAAAGTGCCTTCAAGCAGGCTCAGGGGCTGGGTTTGATCCTGGGGCCTGTTGTATGGGCCCTGCCCCTGGGGCACACTGAGGCAGCAATTGAGACTGGGCGTGGTTGCAGGTGTCTGTAATCCCAGCTCTTGGGAGGCTGTAAACAGGTGGATCACTACAAGTCTGATCTAGTAGTGAGACCCTAAACACACTGTAGACCCTTCCCTAAAATACAAAAAAAGAGGTTATCATGTGATGTATAAAATAATTAAATGGTATTATTTGATTAGTCATTTGATTTCAAATTCTTCTATTATAATCAATAATTTAAGCATAATGGAGCTGCATGTAGACTCAACAGACCTGCATTTGAAAACAGAGGGTCCTGTCAGCAAATAAGTGGGCAAATTGCCTTTAATAATATTGAGCAGGAAAAAAAATGTTTTGACTCAGCATTAATTTTCTCTTAAGGTATCCTTTCTTGTGCTTTAGGTAGTAATTTGGTATGGCATAAAAATAATAGCTTTTAAATTAGGTCTGCATATGTGATATCATTTTACTTTAAACTTACTCAGTTTCTAAAAAAATTATTCAGTTTCATTTGATTATCAAAGGAAACTTTGTATATAAGTTTATTATACAAAGTTAGTAGTTTCAAATGTAGCTAAGGTGGACTATCTTAGATACTAAATATGCACATAGGCCAAATCCTCCATCCAGATATAACAACGGCACTTGATTCCGCATCTGCAGAAACTCCTTGGTCAAAAGGCATGGCCTCATTCAGTGCTTTGTTTTTCCTTTGGGACATGACTAGTCCATGTGGGGCAGGGAGGCCTGTTCACTC